TATTATTTTAGTATAACTATTTATAGTTATAGATATTTCCTCATATTTCCTATGTATTGTTTGTTGCCAATAATTTGCCAATTCGTCCCACTGTGCAGCGTTTCAAATTGGTTTTTCGCCGATCGGTCAAGTGCAAGTGGTAATTTAAAGAATCGGTTGAAGAGCGTCGCATCGAGTGTCCAATGTTGGCGCCCCCATATGCGCATAATTTCGATTGCCTGTCCAGTCGCAAGTTTTTTTCTTTAGTTTTTTGTTTTTGGGGAAGAAAGTTGAGCGACAGTGGCAGCAACAGCAACGGCAGCAACAGAGGCTGCGGCAGCGTTTCATGTGCTGTTAAGTGAAATGAAAAGTGCATAAATAAATCTGCCGCCTCGTGTTGCAGCAGCATTCACTGCGCTTGCAACGCGACGATGCGACGACGCGACGATAAGAATCGAAGCTGGCCAAAAAAGCAATGCAACACACAAAAGAACTTTCGCTTTCGATTGGGGCACCTTCTTTTTTTCGTCTGTTTTGGTTATTTGCTTGGCAGCAAGTAAAAGTGCGAGTGCATTATTTAAGCCAAGTTTGGTTATGGAAATGCAACCGGTCGCCCATGTGAAAATTGTCAGACAGCCCGGACAGCGGCAACATACATATATCTCTATGTTTTTACCTGCATTTAACGACAATTATGTGCAGTTTAATGAGCCGCTGAAGTTGCACGTCATGCTACTGAGTGATGTGATTGCATAAGGCACAACATTGTCAACATTGTCCGGCACCCCACACACACCCCCCTCCCGCCCTTGCCTTGACCCAATCACGATCGCTTTCACTGTAGAATCGCTTAGAAGTGCGGACTCGAATGATATTCGCTTGTTAGGTTTATGTGCGCGCTTGTTCGTGGGGTGCAGGCGACGAGTGATAGTAAAAGTGATAGTCGTTTTTCAATACCAGATTATTATGGCTTAAATATTTTACGACTTATATAACCACAAGCACAAACGCACACACACATACACATGGGCACATCCCATCCAGTTACACACGTCAAAGCAATTAAGCTACCAAAACACACACACAATCACATGCACACACGCACACGCAGGCACTTTTCTAATTAATTTCGAAATAAAAAAAAAATCTCAATAAAATTTCATTTTCATTGACAGCCGCTTTTCAACTGCACTCGCCTGATGAGGCCTCAACGACAACAACAACAACTTTGGTACACTTAATTGACAAGTGTGAAACTTTCGATTTCTATATACACCCATTGACATACAAAACAAGTAAGAGTGCTCTAGTCGGGCATACACGACTAACAGATACCCTCAACCCAATGCCGAGCTGCAGTTACAAGTTGACTTCTTTATGCGTTAGCTGTGCCTCTTCTATCCTTGGCCCCAGAGCATGCAAGGGTTAATTAACTGTATTTAGTCGGTACTTGGAGTCCGATATACGATAAAATATATTTTAAACCTGAAGTCTCTAGCTCCTATAGTTTCGAAGATAGACATACTTTCTAGGCTGGATCAACTCAGCTCTTCATTCTGATGCAGACTATATTTATATTGAGTTTAAAGAAGCTTTCCACAGTCTCTTACACACATTTGTACAAAAACCTTATACCCTCTACCCATTTATTCAATTTATAAAGGGTATTTAAATACCAAGCAGAGCGGCAACAACAACAACTACAGCCAAGTGCCTAATGATGCCCGCCTGCTATGATTTGTTGTGTCTAAATGTCACAATTTTCCAAAATGACGGCTTGGCGCACACACACACACTGAGGAAAACCAGCGTTAGGCAGCGGGCGGGCGGTTGGCTACTTGCAACAAGGTGTGCTGCCTGCCTCGCTGCCTGGCTGCCACACTGACTCGCTGGCTGGCTGGCTGGCTGGCTCTGCTATCGGCTCGTGTGATGGCTTTGCTGATAATTATTGATATGGCTGGAACGGGTGTTAAACTGGCTGCTCCCGCAGCTGCCGAATCTCCGAATCGGACTTGACAAAAAGCCGGCGTGCGCGCAATGAAATTAAATGATTAACTAACATTGCCGCGACGAGGTCTCTAGTTTTGGTTACGGCTTTGGCTTTGGCTTTGGCTCTTTGGGCTGCTGTTTGCTTTGCCGCCGTGGATGGGTGAAATTTCTGACTATATGTCGCGCCCGGCTTTAGTCTCCGTGTCGTGCTCGAGTATGGCTCTGGCGTGATTTTTATGCTACTACAAAATATATGTTTCAATTATCGCTGGCGGCGGCACAAAATGTTTTTAAAAATGAAAGTTGCCATATTTCAATTGAACAGCTTAATTGTGACCGAGCAGCTGTCTCTCCACGGTCTTCGTATTCATTAAATATGAAGAACTATGGGAAATTTGTTAGATAAGACTCTGCCTGTCTTAGTACTCATTAAATATGAAGAACGATGAGAAATTTGTTAGATCAGGCTTGAATGACGAACCGCCTCGTTATAGATTTTATTGTTAGTATTATTACCTATTATATACAAGACTCTTTGGAACTAACTTGTAAGGAAAAATATATGTACCAGCAGCAGATAAATATATTGCAGCTGAAGGAATTCCAATGGTCTATAAAACAAAACTTTCAACTCTGTCTTTTTTTCACGCCAATGTTCCAAAGTTTTTGGCGGAATTCCCATAATCAAAGAATCATTCGGTAACTATATAGAGCTTTGCAAATAAGTTGAAAACCAATCGGACATATATTTTAATGAAAGGAATTACTTTTTACATTCAGAAAATCAAATGGAGGCTTTAATGGAAGCTCACCTTGATCTTACTTTCGGTTCATATATAAATCCTCAATATTTTTATTCCAGTCCGACAACTGCTTTGTATATATCATTAGAGTATAATATATATTTCCTATATTATATCTTAATACCTCATATATACAAGAAATTTCCCATCATAAAAATGTATATATATATTCCGGATATCATTAGAAGACACGCGATTTTAAGCCTGTCAGATCTACCTAAAGCCGCTTTAGAATATTTCTATTCATATTTGGGATGAGAAAACGATTTAAGTCTTTTGTTTTTATTGTCTACTCAACCAAACAGCGCACAGCTTGCGAATGTGCTCAAGGATTGATTTCCCAGAAATGAGAACAGCAACTCGTTTATATTTCATCTTTTGACAAGCCATAATTAAAAATCAATTTGGCGCGCTTAGAAGCGGCTCATGTCAGTCGCAAACAAACACACAAAGCGTGTATTATGCAACGGTTGACAGGCAAGCAAAATTAATAAAAATAAAAAAAAAACTAAGAACGGCTAGCCGAAGTGTAGATACCCTAAAGTACATATATGTGGGAACAACTGTGTAGCTGGAAATTGCCAACTTTTGGCTAAGATATATTGGAAAATAGGGAAATAATGACTAAAATTATGAGCGATCGTTCCTATGGCAGATATATAATGTAGGAATACGATCAGAAAAAAGCGTATCTATGCAAAGTTGTAGGCCGACAGCTTAACAAACAAGTTCGCTCAGATGAACAAGCAAAAACAGACATTGATGCTGATCAGGAATATATATATGCCTTATAGGGTCGAACTTGTTTTCCTTTGTGCCTTACAAATAGCCTGACAAAATTCGAATACTCTCTACGAGAGTAAAACATTATATATACAAAATAATAATAATCGAGTTCGTTGCCTGAGTCTTTTGTTTTGTCAAAGGTGCAGGCAAGATGCCTAGCAGTCGCATCAGCGTGAGCTGAACATATCAAGCCAAATATCTTAAACAAACACATGCATTCATAAAGCACACACATATCTATATATACACATATATATTTATATTCGCTTAGCTAGTCTGTCGTATATGCGGAGTTCACGCTATGTCAAGCATGATTTTGTTGTTGCTTCGGGCTGAGTGGTTAAGTGCAGCCGCCGTCGCCTCCCAACTGCCATAGAAACTCATTAATGAGCCCACAAACTGGCATTTGACAGATTTTTTAATTAAAGCATACAAATTGCAATTTCTCATGGTTTTCAGCTGCAGACTGCCGACGGCACCAAATAGTTTTGCTTGCCATTTCATATTTATAATCGCAACGCGAGCAGGCATCTGCCCTATTTAACCTTAAAATGTTATGCTAACCAAATGTTATTCATTTTATGCTTAATTAATGTTCAATATGCATAAGCATTAGCTGAACAGTAGCAAAAGCTCGGGTGAGCTTTAAGTGTGCAAGCTTAGACCCGAGTCCAACTTAAAACTACTTTAATATGCAACATATATTGGCTAAATATCAGCTAAAACTCAACGAATCTTTCAGTTTGTCAACTTTAAGCCTAAATTAATGAGAAATGTCAACTAATTTCTGATTCAATTTAAGATTAGAGCCCTGATTTAGCTTAAAGCTTAACAAATTTATGTTTGTTTGTGCCCAATAGTTGTGCTTAAAAAACAGTAATGCTTTCTGTCTTAATAAGGCAGCAAAAGCTTCCGAAAGCTTTTAATTAAGCTGAAAGTTCTATCAATTGCAAGCAATTCTTTCATAGCACGAAACTTAAAGCTGTTCAATAGACTTTACTTGTAATGTCAATGTTAATATCGATCAATTTAATTTAAGAGCTCACGAGAGTTTCAATTAACATGCTTAAAGTTCGCTTAAAGCTCCAAAAGATGTGAAACTGTTCTGTGGATTACTTGCCACTTTAATAGTTACATCGATTGTAAAGGATGGCGTCCCGCTTGGCAGTCAAAAATATTTACATACGCATCCAGCTCATGAATTACGTTATATTTACATAATCATCATCATCATTATTATCATCATGATTGCATCCAGGCTGTGTTGCTCCTTTCACTTTCTGCACAGCGACTGCCTAATTATTCCTAGCCGCCTACAACGGCTCCTATACCCCCCAACTCCCTCAATCTGCCCACATGCATTGTCTAGCTGAGATTTCGCACATAATTAAATTGCGCAAAAATTTACATGAAATTAATCGTTTTATTGTTGTGTCTCGCTGGCATGTGCCATGCGGAAGCGGCGCCCTACCAAAAATGGCAAAAAAAATAAAATAAAAATAAAAAAGAAATAGTAGCCAATGTCCAAGTCCAGCTCCTCCAGCAGCAGCAAAAAGCCAAACACGCAAGATTTATGCGCTGGCAGCGACCAATTGCCAGTGGAGCCGAAATTATTGAGGAATTTGCGCAAAAAGCGGTAGAAAGAAAACAAAAACCAAAAAAAACGAAAAAAAAATTCATTAGATTTCTGGCTTGGCACATTTCACTTTCGCGGCCAATTACATCACCCGCAGATAGACGCAGAAGTTGAGCCACAAATTTGTCGCCCCACCGACATATGCTCAGTGGGAGCACAAGGTAAAGGGATCGAAGCAAATAAACATAATCTTAATATATGCAATGCTTCAAATGTGGAACAGTCACAAATTATAATTAGCTTAAGCTGTGCGCGTTCACAGGTCGAAAGTTGAAATTCTGCGGACTGTTCTGCCAGTTGCTCAGCGAAAGTCGCGCGACGAGGATTGACTATGCTTGGAAGTGGACTACTTGGCATTTGTGTGCTGCTCTTGCGGCTGCTTGGCGGCACAGCTCAGCATTACACCGACTGGGGCACACACTTTCTGGACATGTCATACGGCCGGGCAACACCAGCCAGCCCGGGCAACATCTCCAGCAATCCGCACATCAATGCCATTGAGCATCAGGAGGAGCCGCCGACGCGCATTGTCAACGGCATACGCATACCCTGCGAACGGGCACCCTATCAGGTGGCGCTGCGCTACGAGGGTCAGTTCGTTTGCGGCGGCAGCATATTGTCCCGCTATTGGGTGCTCACGGCCGCCCACTGTGTCGTCGGCTACAGGGGCAACTATCGGGTGCGTGTGGGCTCCGCGCTGCAGCCAAGCGGCGGCCAGCTGCATCGGGTGCTGTTTGCTGTGCCCCATCGCGGCTACAACAAGAAGACCATGCAGAACGATCTGGCGCTGTTACGCCTGGCCACGCCCCTGCGCTATGGGCGCTGCGTGCAGCCGGCGCGCCTGCCCAGCAGCAGTCGGGAAAAGCAGTCGCCCTCGCCGCGCTGCTACATGGTCAGCGGCTGGGGCTTGCGCAAGGCGTCGGCACAGAATGTCCAGCGGCATCTGCGCGCCACCGTCGTGTGCAGGGTATCAGCCGGTCGGTGTCGCGGCATGTACAAAAAGGGCGGCGTGCGCATCTACAACCAAATGCTGTGCGCCCAGCGTCTGGGCCACGACAGCTGCTCCGGCGACTCGGGCGGACCGCTGGCATTTGGACGCACGCTCTACGGCGTCGTCTCCTTTGGCATTGGCTGCGCCAACAAAAACTATCCGGGCGTCTACGTAAATGTCAGGCGATTCAGAGGCTGGATACGCTATGTCACCAAGAGCTTCTCTTAAGATTTGAGTACGTTTGAACAGGAAAAATAAAATACGCTTTTGCAAAACTCAAAAATGATTTTCAATTTAGAGATGACTCGAATATAAATGAGAGAAACATAAAACACTAGAATACCCGGCGGATGGGAAGTTGACGTGGGTCGTGTGGCCAACTTAACAACGAAAATCCGGGCTCGAATCCCAGACTGTGCTATTATCTTAGCCTAAGTTCGTAGTAGTCAATGCCTAAGTTAGGTTTAGTTTGTAACTATATCCTATACAGCTTATAAAAACAACAAAATCAAATACATTGCTTTATGGAACTTGCAATAAAATCCTTCCAATCAAACATATCAGCGCCTACTAATACAAGTTAAGGTCAACTTTTTAAGTTGACTGCTCTTAAATAAACAACTTGATCTATTTGCCACTATTTTCTACTCTTATAATATTAATGCAAAGTATGGACAGAACATCGATTATTTGAATATCGGCTAAGATATATGGTCAATATTCATGTAAAAATTGTACTCTCAAATATCCTATATAGACATAGGTTGAGATTTCCCACCCCCATAACTCGGCTAAAACTCAACCGATTTTCACGAGGTTTGGATTTTTTTCATGGTTTGGCCTCTAGATTAATTGTGCATCAAAATCTGGCAACGTTATTTTTGGTCCAAATTCATGTAAAAAATTGTACCCTCAAATATCCTATACAGACATAGGTCGAAATTCCCTCCCCCCATAACTCGGCTAAAACTCAACCAATTTTCACGAGGTTTGGATTTTTTTCATGGTTTGGCCTCTAGATTAATTGTGCATCAAAATCTGGCAACGTTATTTTCGGTCCAAATTCATGTGCAAAATTGTACCCTCAAATATCCTATACAGACATATGTCGAGATTTCCCACCCCCATATCTCGGATAAAACTCAATAAATTTTCACGAGGTTTGGATTTTTTTTCATGGTTTGGCCTCTAGATTAATTGTGCATCAAAATCTGGCAACGTTATTTTTAGTCCAAATTCATGTAAAAAATTGTACCCTCAAATATCCTATACAGACATAGGTCGAAATTTCCCACCCCCATAAATCGGCTAAAACTTAACCGATTTTTACGAGGTTTGGATTTTTTTGCATGGTTTGGCCTCTAGATTAATTGTGCATCAAAATCTGGCAACGTTATTTTTGGTCCAAATTCATGTAAAAAATTGTACCCTCAAATATCCTATACAGACATATGTCGAGATTTCCCACCCCCATATCTCGGATAAAACTCAACCAATTTTCACGAGGTTTGGATTTTTTTTCATGGTTTGGCCTCTAGATTAATTGTGCATCAAAATCTGGCAACGTTATTTTTGGTCCAAATTCATGTAAAAAATTGTACCCTCAAATATCCTATACAGACATAGGTCGAAATTCCCTCCCCCATAACTCGGCTAAAACTCAACCGATTTTCACGAGGTTTGGATTTTTTTTCATGGTTTGGCCTCTAGATTAATTGTGCATCAAAATCTGGCAACGTTATTTTTGGTCCAAATTCATGTGCAAAATTGTACTCTCAAATATCCTACATAGACATAGGTCGAGATTTCCCACCCCCATAACTCGGCTAAAACTCAACCGATTTTCACGAGGTTTGTATTTTTTTTCATGGTTTGGCCTCTAGATTAATTGTGCATCAAAATCTGGCAACGTTATTTTTGGTCCAAATTCATGTAAAAAATTGTACCCTCAAGTCTCCTATACAGACATAGGTCGAAATTTCCCACCCCCATAAGTCGGCTAAAACTCAACCGATTTTCACGAGGTTTGGATTTTTTTTCATGGTTTGGCCTCTAGATTAATTGTGCATCAAAATCTGGCAACGTTATTTTTAGTCCAAATTCATGTAAAAAATTGTACCCTCAAATATCCTATACAGACATAGGTCGAAATTTCCCACCCCCATAAATCGGCTAAAACTTAACCGATTTTTACGAGGTTTGGATTTTTTTTCATGGTTTGGCCTCTAGATTAATTGTGCATCAAAATCTGGCAACGTTATTTTTGGTCCAAATTCATGTAAAAAATTGTACCCTCAAATATCCTATACAGACATAGGTCGAGATTTCCCACCCCCATATCTCGGATAAAACTCAACCAATTTTCACGAGGTTTGGATTTTTTTTCATGGTTTGGCCTCTAGATTAATTGTGCATCAAAATCTGGCAACGTTATTTTTGGTCCAAATTCATGTAAAAAATTGTACCCTCAAGTCTCCTATACAGACATAGGTCGAAATTTCCCACCCCCATAAGTCTGCTAAAACTCAACCGATTTTCACGAGGTTTGGATTTTTTTCATGGTTTGGCCTCTAGATTAATTGTGCATCAAAATCTGGCAACGTTATTTTTAGTCCAAATTCATGTAAAAAATTGTACCCTCAAATATCCTATACAGACATAGGTCGAAATTTCCCACCCCCATAAATCGGCTAAAACTTAACCGATTTTTACGAGGTTTGGATTTTTTTGCATGGTTTGGCCTCTAGATTAATTGTGCATCAAAATCTGGCAACGTTATTTTTGGTCCATTGTACCCTCAAATATCCTATACAGACATAGGTCGAGATTTCCCACCCCCATATCTCGGATAAAACTCAACCAATTTTCACGAGGTTTGGATTTTTTTTCATGGTTTGGCCTCTAGATTAATTGTGCATCAAAATCTGGCAACGTTATTTGTGGTCCAAATTCATGTAAAAAATTGTACCCTCAAATATCCTATACAGACATATGTCGAGATTTCCCACCCCCATATCTCGGATAAAACTCAACCAATTTTCACGAGGTTTGGATTTTTTTTCATGGTTTGGCCTCTAGATTAATTGTGCATCAAAATCTGGCAACGTTATTTTTGGTCCAAATTCATGTAAAAAATTGTACCCTCAAATATCCTATACAGACATAGGTCGAAATTCCCTCCCCCCATAACTCGGCTAAAACTCAACCGATTTTCACGAGGTTTGGATTTTTTTTTCATGGTTTGGCCTCTAGATTAATTGTGCATCAAAATCTGGCAACGTTATTTTTGGTCCAAATTCATGTGCAAAATTGTACTCTCAAATATCCTACATAGACATAGGTCGAGATTTCCCACCCCCATAACTCGGCTAAAACTCAACCGATTTTCACGAGGTTTGGATTTTTTTTCATGGTTTGGCCTCTAGATTAATTGTGCATCAAAATCTGGCAACGTTATTTTTGGTCCAAATTCATGTAAAAAATTGTACCCTCAAATATCCTATACAGACATAGGTCGAGATTTCCCACCCCCATATCTCGGATAAAACTCAACCGATTTTCACGAGGTTTGGATTTTTTTTCATGGTTTGGCCTCTAGATTAATTGTGCATCAAAATCTGGCAACGTTATTTTTAGTCCAAATTCATGTAAAAAATTGTACCCTCAAATATCCTATACAGACATAGGTCGAAATTTCCCACCCCCATAAATCGGCTAAAACTTAACCGATTTTTACGAGGTTTGGATTTTTTTTCATGGTTTGGCCTCTAGATTAATTGTGCATCAAAATCTGGCAACGTTATTTTTGGTCCAAATTCATGTGCAAAATTGTACTCTCAAATATCCTACATAGACATAGGTCGAGATTTCCCACCCCCATAACTCGGCTAAAACTCAACCGATTTTCACGAGGTTTGGATTTTTTTTCATGGTTTGGCCTCTAGATTAATTGTGCATCAAAATCTGGCAACGTTATTTTTGGTCCAAATTCATGTAACAAATTGTACCCTCAAATATCCTATACAGACATAGGTCGAGATTTCCCACCCCCATATCTCGGATAAAACTCAACCAATTTTCACGAGGTTTGGATTTTTTTTCATGGTTTGGCCTCTAGATTAATTGTGCATCAAAATCTGGCAACGTTATTTTTGGTCCAAATTCATGTAAAAAATTGTACCCTCAAGTCTCCTATACAGACATAGGTCGAAATTTCCCACCCCCATAAGTCGGCTAAAACTCAACCGATTTTCACGAGGTTTGGATTTTTTTTCATGGTTTGGCCTCTAGATTAATTGTGCATCAAAATCTGGCAACGTTATTTTTAGTCCAAATTCATGTAAAAAATTGTACCCTCAAATATCCTATACAGACATAGGTCGAAATTTCCCACCCCCATAAATCGGCTAAAACTTAACCGATTTTTACGAGGTTTGGATTTTTTTTCATGGTTTGGCCTCTAGATTAATTGTGCATCAAAATCTGGCAACGTTATTTTTGGTCCAAATTCATGTAAAAAATTGTACCCTCAAATATCCTATACAGACATAGGTCGAGATTTCCCACCCCCATATCTCGGATAAAACTCAACCAATTTTCACGAGGTTTGGATTTTTTTTCATGGTTTGGCCTCTAGATTAATTGTGCATCAAAATCTGGCAACGTTATTTTTGGTCCAAATTCATGTAAAAAATTGTACCCTCAAGTCTCCTATACAGACATAGGTCGAAATTTCCCACCCCCATAAGTCTGCTAAAACTCAACCGATTTTCACGAGGTTTGGATTTTTTTCATGGTTTGGCCTCTAGATTAATTGTGCATCAAAATCTGGCAACGTTATTTTTAGTCCAAATTCATGTAAAAAATTGTACCCTCAAATATCCTATACAGACATAGGTCGAAATTTCCCACCCCCATAAATCGGCTAAAACTTAACCGATTTTTACGAGGTTTGGATTTTTTTGCATGGTTTGGCCTCTAGATTAATTGTGCATCAAAATCTGGCAACGTTATTTTTGGTCCATTGTACCCTCAAATATCCTATACAGACATAGGTCGAGATTTCCCACCCCCATATCTCGGATAAAACTCAACCAATTTTCACGAGGTTTGGATTTTTTTTCATGGTTTGGCCTCTAGATTAATTGTGCATCAAAATCTGGCAACGTTATTTGTGGTCCAAATTCATGTAAAAAATTGTACCCTCAAATATCCTATACAGACATATGTCGAGATTTCCCACCCCCATATCTCGGATAAAACTCAACCAATTTTCACGAGGTTTGGATTTTTTTTCATGGTTTGGCCTCTAG